CCTTAAATTTTATAGAATAATAATAATACAGGCAACTAACCACTACGGGCCGCCTAACCTAACCACTACTTTCGCCGGAGGTACGCTCCCCGATGGCGAAATCCTCCATACAACAAAGTGTCTGTTTAACCTAACCTTAGTACAAAGTCTATTGGTGTCCTCAATTTTATAGAGGTTAGCACCCAGAAGTCAATACTAATCAAGCAGCCTAAACTGTTTAGCCTGAACTAAGGGGACCTTAAATTTTATATAATAATAATAATACAGGCAACTAACCAACCACTACGGGCGGCAAGCAGAAGGGAAATCCTCCGTGGTCGTCTGTTGAAAGTAGTATAAGCTCCTCAATAAGAGACAGGCCCTGTGCAAAGAGCCCGCTAATCCTCCACATAAACTGTGTAACCGAGGTCTATACTCCCCAATTTTATGGGGTGTTTCGTAAAAGGTGTCTGTTTAACCTAACCTAGTACAAAGTCTATTGGTGTCCTCAATCAAGTCAATAAGAGACATAATCCACAGCGCCTGACCGTCTAAATTCAGGCAACTAATTGCCGGAGGTTATGGCAAATATTACAGCAAAAGTGTCTGTTTAACCTAACCTTAGTACAAAGTCTATTGGTGTCCTCACCCGAAGTCAATAAGAGACAAAGAAATAATCCAAGCAGCCTAAACTGTTTAGCCTGACCGTGGTAAAGTCTAACGGGGACCTTAAATTTTATAGAATAATAATAATACAGGCAACTAACCAACCACTACTGCCGGAGGTTTCGTGATGGCGAAATCCTCCATTACAGCAAAAGTGTTGTTTAACCTAACCTTAGTACAAGGTCTATTGGTGTCCTCAATTTTATAGAGGTTAGCCACTCAATAAGAGACAAAGAAATAATCCAAGCAGCCTAAACTGTTTAGCCTGACCGTGGTAAAGTCTAACGGGGACCTAAATTTATATAATAATAATAATACAGGCAACTACCTAACCACTACTTAACCGCCGGAGGTATGGCGAAATCCTCCATTACAGCAAAAGTGTCTGTTTAACCTAACCTAGTACTATTGGTGTCCTCAAATAGAGGTTAGCTCAATAAGAGACAATAATCCAAGCAGCCTAAACTGTTTAGCCTGACCGTGGTAAAGTCTAACGGGGACCTTAAATTTTATATAATAATAATAATACAGGCAACTAACCAACCACTATGCTTTCGCGATGGCGAAAGTGTCTGTTTAACCTAACCTTAGTACAAAGTCTATTGGTGTCCTCAATTTTATAGAGGTTAGCCACCAAGTCAATAAGTAATCCAAGCAGCCTAAACTGTTTAGCCTGACCGTGGTAAAGTCTAACGGGGACCTTAAATTTTATATAATAATAATAATACAGGGCAACTAACCAACCACTACCGGGCCGCCTAACCTAACCACTACTTTCGCCGGAGGTTTCGTCACGCTCCCCGATGGCGAAATCCTCCATTACAGCAAAAGTGTCTGTTTAACCTAACCTTAGTACAAGGTCTATTGGTGTCCTCAATTTTATAGAGGTTAGCCACCCGAAGTCAATAAGAGACAAAGAAATAATCCAAGCAGCCACAACTATCTAGCCTAACCTGTTTAGCCTGACATAGAGTTTTTAATAAATCTGGTGATGTGGAACCACACACAACCCCTTAACAGAGGATGTCTGCATCGATGGATAATTGCTAGCTATTCTCAGAATAATGCAATCAAATAATTTCGTTTACTGACAGGCTTTTGGAGCTAATGTTAGATACTGTATTTGGTCATGGTGTTTATTAGACTATAAGAAATCCTCTTCCTTCTTGTATTGGCAAGGGGAGTTTGCTTTAACTTAGGTATGCTAGCCTAAGTAAAAATAGACACGGAGCTGCGAAGACCTGATTCTTTTGCTGCATGTTTGAGTCTGCAACTTTGTTGTGATAAGACACTCAATCCTAGTGATTATACTTACTCAACATAGTGACGGTGTAATTACCATCACAGATTGTACGGGAAATTCCAACTTTGGAAAAAACAAATATTTGGCCTACCCAAATTTTGACTACTACCCGTGCGTCTACGTCCTGGATTGGCCAATCAGTGGTGCCCCACGGTGGCGTGATACATGCACGTTTACTGCGGTGCTCTGATTAGCTGACCGAACGTGGCGTGGTAGGTAGGCTGTTTCTACTCTCTAAGTCCTCTTCTTTCCTTTTTTCATCCCCCTCATGCACTCCGTTCTTTGAACGGGAGGCGGGACTTCGCGATACGGTCGATCGGCAAGGGAACCTATATTAATTTGGTACCCTTATCCAGGAGTCTCACCGGTAGGTGTAGCTTTTTTAGATATTACTATAAGTCACAGGTAACTGATTGTGGGCATTACCTTGAGGGGGGGCAGGTCACTACTCAGGCAGGGCCTGTGTTATCTGGATTGATTGTCAAGAAGATGACAACTAGCATTAGAATAAAACATAGAAATAAGGGACACTCTATTGGAAGGGGAAAAGTGGCAGAAATCACTTACAACAAACTGCAAGTCCCACTAACTAGAATATTCAGCACCAATGAAGGTTTTAAAGTAATCTGTAAAGATGACTTTGATTCAGATAAAATCCTTTCAAAAGAAGCAAGAGATATATTTTACAATGAAGGCCTTATTGTTGTCATGCCACCAGAACAAAAAGCAAAAAGATCAGTTTTTGTTCGTCAAGTCGATCAAGAGATCAGGAGGAAGACCTGAAAGAAGAACTGGAACGCCAAAATAGGTGGATGAAGATTGAAGAAGTCATTAAGATAAAGGACTATACTCATGTTTGAAGAAGTGTCAATGGCTGAGAAAGTTTTACAACAGGGCTTTCTAATATTCAACATGTCAGTCACACCACATCAAATAAAGAAGGAGACATTCATCAGTCTGCAAACTTACTTCTCCTGCTACAAATATGAAGAACACACAACGAGAGACTGTCCGGAAAAAGAAAAAAAGTACTGCTCAGAATTGTGCAGGCGACGACCATACCTACACTGAATGGAAGAATACACATGTTGGCTGTCTCAACTGTAAGAGAAACGGGAATGCATACATAGGACATAGGACGTTAGCAATGGCATACCCAATAAAAAAACACATGATAAAGTACAAGGAACAAGAAACAAGGAAAAAGGAACAAGACAAGAAGGATACGACATACGTCGAAATAGCAAAGAGAGCGGTCCAAGAGGTTCATAGACCAGAATCCACCATATTAAACCTGAGTGAGCCAATACATGATAAGGTAATGATTAGTATGATCCATGCACATTTGCACAATATCATTGCACCCGGATCATACAATGAGGAATTAAGGAAAATGTTTAAATTGAATAACCTACCAGAGATAGTATTCCAGAGAATCACAATCCGAAAAAACTATTTTCAGACAACATATGCAAGCGAACTGAGAAAGACTACATCCAAGACAAAAGGTTTTGACTGAGGGCAACGAAAGCTGATACACAAGGAACTACAAACTGACTGATAGAAGATCCCAGACAAATGACTAGAAGTGACAAGAAGATAGAAATAACAAAAGGACAGACAAAGGAGTAGGAGGAGAGAAGATAAGATGGAAACTGATCACAATATACAACCTGAATCTGCTGAAGAAATTGGATTAAAAGTTATCACTACAACAAAACATGGAATCCCAACATCGAGACCAACAGGAGGGACAATAGTAAAAACTGTGAAGGAGGGATATACAAGTGGACATATCAAGAAAAATCCCTAAGTGAAGATTATGTCTGGTCACTAATTACTACGGACAAACTAAAGATTACGGCCAAAAGACTTTAAAATAGTAGACCCGTCCAGAGTATAGAGTCAGAAGCGGGAAACAGGATGATAGGTCTCACTCCAGCACCACAATCAAGTATAAGAAATAATGAATAATAGACAAGCAGTAAGAACTTTAAGAATAATACAACACAACGTAAAACTGGAAGACCGAGAGAATTAACCTAGAAAGTAATATATATCATGAGAATTGACCCTGACATTATACTAATAAACAGTCACGGTGAGACAGAAAACAACAACATAAAACTCTTTAACTATTATGTAAACCAAAGAAATAAATCGGGCGAGAAAAATGACGGAGTAGCGATAGCGGTTAAAAGAAACTTAAAAATTAAACTAATTGATGACTTCCAGGATGAATTTCTAGCAATAAAAATAAATACAACTC